ATTTAAAAAACTTAAAATTATGTATCATCAAGATTCTCATAGCCAACCATTATCCAATTGATATAATATTTAAAACCATCAACAAACGTCTAAAAACAGTATTTAATACAAAACTTAATAATCATATAAATAACAGTAACATTGACACACAGTCGACAGACGAAGTTAAATACTTTTTGATACCATTTGTCGATGAGCAGTCCAACACTCTCTCTAGCGCTTTAAATAAAATGAACATTAGATTAGCATACAGAAACATTTCTCGTTTAAACACATATATTAAAACTCATAAAGATCCCATTACATTTAACCAGGATAAAAACATTGTGTATTATATTGAATGTGAAAATTGTAATGCTTGTTATGTCGGACAAACTGGGAGAAAATTAGGCACGAGAATCAAAGAACACATGAATTATGTCAAAAAGAAATCTCAAAACTCGGTCTTGTCTGATCATTGTTTAAACACCGATCATAAATTCAATTGGAACACAGTTAAAATTCTAGACAAAAAAATGAATTACTACAAACGAACCACATCGGAAATGCTACACATCAAGATGAACGCTAACACTTTAAATATTATGAATGATACTGACTTATTAGATAAATCTTACTTATCGATTATCGATAAAATTCTTTGACTCTCGATATTTTATACTTTGATTTCTCATATTTATTGTTTTGACTCTTAGTTTAATCCTCACATTCGATCTTGACACATTATAACCGTTGTCTAACACACATTGTTATCATTTAAAATAGAAGTGTATAAAAGGTGCGTTTTCCGTCTTTTTGCATATCAACAACTTTGTACTTATATTTAACACACATTGTAAAATAATTATTGTATTATATTTGCAGTCTTGCGACTGATAAAGACTGAATAAACAGTTGAAACGGTTCGCTCTTCAACATTACATATTGTTTTATTGCACAACACCCTGCATAATTGGTTCATACTCGCCGTCTTCTTACACATATTTGTTTTTTATCAATTGAACCAGAGAACAACCCTCATTCTTGATATTATTTTATAGAATTCTTTCTCCCTATGTTGCCAAAGAACAAAGGTGTCATCCACATACCGAAATCATGTTCGGAGTTGTAGTAAGGTCTTTTTAATGGTCTAGTATTCAAAGTGTTCCATCATAGCAAACATATTTATGGAACACTTTGAATCTATTGGAAACTGGTCACAAAATCATGTTTGACTAAATCCAAATACTAAACAAAACTGTAGTTTACTTTCTTACAAAATATATGGAATTCTTGGAGATACCCAGCAAACAATTTGGTTGTGGGATGTCGCGGTTTTGTCACCAACCGCCGGCGAAATTTATAGACCAAATCCATATCCATCTGTGTCCTCATTAGAATATAGTTTGGCGACCATATTTGTAAAACATGTGAGATGTTAAAATGAGATCAAAATCATAACAGGTCTGCCACTAGCAAAGCAAAGCCAAAGTGCCGCACAAAATCCAGAACAGATTTGGTCATTGCCTATTGGCGCCAAAATCGCGCCAAATACACATTAAATCTGTTACTAGAACTGTCAACAAAACAGTAGCAAATACAGATCAAATCTGTCGTCAGAAGCGCCGACAAATTGTTACCAAACGCAAATTATATCTGTCGCTTAGAACACAAATGAATTACTTATTAAAAAAAAAAAAAAAAGAAAACTAATGGTATATTGTCTTGTCGGAAGGGAATCAATTAGAGATTTCACTGGAATTAATTTCTGGAGGCCTGATATTCAGCTCGCCGATCAATCGATAAAAGACTTCGTTGAAAAAGACCGGACCTGAAAAAATTCTAATGTGATTGCGGGATTTGAACTCGAGATTGAACTCCACATTTGCAGCCCCTGCACTTAGTCCGCGCGAGACCACTTGTTTCTTATTAACATATAATTATTTTTATCTTCTTACCCGGTAAAAAATTCTCCGTATATAAAATTGTATGGACATATTTGGCACACACACACACACACACACACACACACACATATAAATTTGCATAATTAGATATAATAATTTTAATTTGTGTATAAGTATATATGAAAAATTTTTTATTCTCAAGCTATCCTACATTTTATTTATTACAATATTTAAATTATTATTATTTTACTAAAAATGTTGCAATACAATGTGTGCAACAATGAATAAAAATACTTTTCTTATTATTNTTAAATATAATTTAAAGTACATTTTTATACAACGCAAACAAATTTTTTGTTAATATATGCTGATTACACTGTTCAACACATTTTTGAGACTTGAATAAACAAACTGTTTTCTAATCGATTTTTGGTCATTAAAAACAAATCCGGCGCCGAAATCGACCTAACATGTCAAATTTCTGAGAAAATTAAAGTTAAATGTATAACATACTGTCTATTAGCGTGAGAAAAAGCATATCAGTGTATCTCATTCACACTAGTTGGCCATTGTGTTACAGTGTCGACTGTGTACGTAGCTGGAAAGCACCTATTGTTTCATATTACTCAATAAATATGAGAATAATTCATTACATTTATAAGTAAATGCATAAATTCATTAAATAATAAATTAATATCTTATAATAAACATACTAATGTAAATGTTGCAAAATGGTTTTCTGTTCAGATTGATCTAATATTTATCGCTTTGGCTGTCTCTAAAAAAGATAGACATAATATTTTAGACATAATAGCAATAAATGCAATGTAAGCATAGCACAAAATAAAATTTGCGTTTGACACGTTTATATATGCTTTTTGCCACCAATGTAATAATTGATCAGATCTGTCGCGTTTGTTTTGTCAATCTGTCGTCAATTTGTTGTCAGCGCGGTCAACACGCCTGCTTAGTGTTTGTTGTCAATCTGTCGTGTAAACGTATTGGGAACTGTTGCATTTTTGCGTGCCAACTGGTAACCAGTTGTAACTGTAAAAGACTGTTTAATGTCTGTTAACAATCTGTTATCAATACAGGCGACAGATATGATCGCAGATAATCGCCATTTTGTTGCTTGTCAAATAGATAGTCTAGTAGTCTTGCGTGCAAACAGTCCGCACGTATGCACAAACAGACCTGCTTGGCGTTTGCCGGCAATCTGTCGTCAATGCGTTCAACAGATCGACCTGATTGCGGTAATCGTTTTGTCGTAAACAGATGCTGGTACGGTTTTGCGGACTATTTGGTCATAGTATTGCTAAAAGCAGATCTGCTTGCAATCGGCCATCTTTGTTGTCAATTTCACTAACATATATGGAATCGTTTTGGCCGCAATACTCTCATATATTTGCCAACAGAGTTTTTGCGTTTTTTGGATCTGTGTACTAACAGTTTTGGCAGTACTAAAGCGTGTTTCTATATTGTAGTGTTTCTGCAAACAGTTTCTGTTGCCAAGGTTTGCGCAGTCAGTTGTTTGCTGGGTTAACAAACATTCAAACAATCTTAATAGAGATAATTGACAAATGACCAGTCTACTAAAAACTTTAATAAAGATTTGATTAATATAGCAAATTTTATTGTTTTTTAAAATAATATATAAATTTTATTAGATAAGTATACATGTTTGTTTTAACTTTTTCCTCGAGGTGACTCAACGTATTCTACTTATGGGGCATGGTGGGCTACTCTTATTTTTTTTATTCAACATTACAGTTTTTTATTCAACATACAGTTTTATCTATGTACGCAATACTTTTAGGTTCTATTGCTTACTTGTTAAGTTAGAGAAATATGCTACTTTTTAACACTATTCTCAGTAATGTATCATAATTATATGAAGATTTATAATAGGTAAAATAAATGCTTTAATTATTTTTGCTCCACTTTATTTGCTCTTGGAACGCAATTCAATCCCTATGCTATTTTAACTAGCGCGCTTCTATGATGTTTAGGTTTTTTTTTTATTTCTGTTCTGGTATCCTGATTGATTCTTTTTATAACTTGCTTTATATAGTTTAAAATGCTGTCAAATAGTATGTCATTTTGACGGTTCCGAATTAAATTATATTGTAATAGCGCGCGTTTAATATAGGGTAAACCTGGGTAAGATGACCACAGTTTTTTTTAAATGCAAAAAACAGACCTTTATTTTTGTTATTTTTTAATATTGGTTTTTTATTTTACTTTATTGAAGCTTAAAGTAATAATAACTATCAAAATTGAAGAGAAAACACTTAACAGAAATTTAATATTATATAAAATATTAAAATGTATGCATTGGCTATCTTACCCAACTTTTAAAGGAAAGATGGCCATACATGTTTTTTTTAAAAGATATAAGTAAAACTTATAATTATGTAATTTAATTATATATTTAGTAATTATATGTTAAATACAATATATCTATTGTACGTAAAAGATTATTACATATTGTTGTTAATGTTTTCATGCACAGTATTTTTTAATTATAAAACGCAACTTTATGTGAACTATAAAAACAATTAGCAAAAAAACATTTTTATTTCGACGATTAAATACATTATAGATTATACTAATCATAAAAAATATATATATAATTATATGTAACTTTTTTAAAAAAATGGGCCATCTTTCCCGAAGTGTGAGGAAAAGATAACATAGTATTTATAAATAAATAATGAAAATGAAAATACACACACACACAAATGTGCCTTTATCATGTATGTAATAGTGATTACAGCAGTTTAACTGTAATTTATTCGACGTTACAGCAGCTTTCAGTTGACATACGTAAAACTTTGCAGGCAATCGAAAGTAAAAATATTATATAATTTTCACAATATTGTTATTTTAAATAGTGTACGCAAATAAACTACTGTAAATACTGATTATCTTTAAGAATGGTTACAAAAATGCACTATTAAACAATTATTGGTAAAATTATAGTCTATGGCTATCTTTTCCGTATGGCCATAATACCTCCATTTACCCTAGATAAAAATGAGGTGAATTATTACGGATATACAAATATATTTTTTTACATATCATTTTTTATGTCACATTAATAATTTTGTTTAGGAATATCTGGAGAAGTCGTCCAGATCGACGTTGGACAATGCCGAAAATTATGTCCACGACATGTATCCGACGATCCTGGAGATGTAAGTCGGCCAGCAGTACAGGTATAAATCTTTCCATTCTTTTCTTTGTTTCTATGTACACATGTAATATAGTGAAACTGGCTTGTCTTTTCTTATTTTTGTTTCCGTTCGTTTCAAAAAATTATCAGTTAACTGTATTATTCGGTTACCTACTTATATTTTAATCTTTATACAATAAAAATTATTGTTTATAAACATTGACATATTCAGACACGATGTGACACGAAACTTCTTGTCGAGCAGTCTTATGTGAGAAATATCATATTTTTATTAAAATGATAAAAAAAGAGATTTTCTCCGAGGTTTTTTGCAAAAACCAATTGGTTTCTCCGTATAGTTTTTCGAATCTTTGGTCGGCTTCAGAAAAAGAGAGGGTTATTTTTGTCACGACGCAATCCGCTATCGATGGGATGCATGCGGATTTTACAGATAATGTTCGGATTGGCGCGACGTGACAGCGATGGGACAGTACTTCGAACCACGCAAGGACCAGAAAAGAAGAGACACTACACACACACGTGAAGCGTCAAGTGTATATGTTGTGTCCTTCAAAGGTCGAATCAGTACGGTCACCGCTTCTTTGCGGAATGTCCAGTCACTACATCTCAGAATTATGCGCTTGCGACAAATTGTTTATATTGTTTATGTGTATAATTCATGCAAGCGTATAATTCTACATAATGTGATATAATACATAATACATCTTGTTTTCGATTTTGAATAAATTTTGATATGATTTCGTTGTCGAAACAAATGACAATCGTTTGATATATTTCGCGAATGTGTTCTATTCATTAAATTTGTGCAAAAATATTTTACTTTTATTTATTTTTATATAGTAAGTTGCAATAATCATTTTCTCGCTTCTGACGTCAAAATCAAGTTGGCTATGGAAGTATGGAAAAACCCCTTGCGATCTTAAATTCTAAATTGTAAACAATCAAAAATGTCAAAATTATTAATCGTCAAAATATGTTTGAAATTTCATATGGTATTATATTGGTATTAGATAAAAATTATAATTCTTTCAGAAATGTTCACCAAATTTCCACTGTCGAGCGAAAGCTGCTAAACTGGAGAGAGTTTCGACATTGCAGGGTATTCGCGTTATCGAGACTATAGATGCCTGCGAATGTTCGCCAGAGTCGTCTTGCAAACGGGAATCTTACATTCATTACGTACATTCCTCTACGCTGCATCAAGCTGTTGTGGATGTAGGAATCTGCAATGGTCATTGCGGCAAAGGTACAACTTTGAAAATCGAATCAATCGTGGAACAGATTCAAATTAATAGAGAACTTTTAGTTTAGTTTTTTTTGTTTACTAGATTGACTTGCAGTAGTTGCGCACATATAAAAACGCGCATATTGTGGCACTGAGGACGGAAACTTAACTTATTTACGTGTTTTTAAGATCTGGATTGCAAACCACTACGGAACAGTACAGTCAGCATCAAAGGACCAAACGGTATGCACAATAGTTTTTTACAGTATGTACACAGTGCATCAAACATTTGCAGAGTAGGTGCGGGGATTTAAGAGCAAGAAGGGCGTTTTTTCTAGCGAAAAATAGCGTCAACAAACGCCGTACCAACTACTTAACTGTAGCAATCACTTGTCTACGACCGTATCAACTAACTATTTACACCGCTAAGAAAACCGCTCTCTTCTTTTCCTTAGACCTTCATATAATAGAGATATAAAGGTAAAGTCATTTGTAACTTATTTGAAATGATTTGATCTGTTTTCAAGGTGACGAAGTTTATCAGATTATAGAAAAATGCGGTTGTGCTGGCAACTGTCACCGTATGGATCATATAGAAACATTATTAGATTATAACGAAGTGACAATCAACGAGAGCACGAACACAACTGATGTGAGACCCGTGATCCGAGTAAGAAATATTTAATTCAATTAACATAATTAGTTTTTTTTAAAGTGAAAAAGACAAATTAGTAACTTTACAAATAAAAAAAGAGAAATTTAAAATTATCATGATATTAAAAATATATTGTACAAACGCAATCTGTAAAATTGCACTGCATATAATGACGTCAGCCTTTCTACAGCAAATAGACATCGGACAATGCGTCGGAACATGTCCGGGCAATGAAATGGAAACCTGTCTTCTGCGTGACAAAACTGAACCGTCCAGATGTCTAGCTGGTCTGTATTTGAGTCAGCACACTTGCACACCAGCTAGATTTAAGGTGCACGAATACAGGTAAAATCCTTTTTGGTTTATATAAATGAAGCTCATTTCCAGATAAAAAATTATTTTGTGTTTAAAACATTTTTATGCTTGATGTTTTAGAACTCGACGAGGTGCGAAAAGAGAAATCATTCAGATCACCCAGTGTGCCTGCGTCTAGACCGAAATTACTGTTTTCTTGGCAGTACGAGTATTATACAGGACGTTTGTGTATTGTTTTTATTGATGTATTATTATGATTACAAACGTTTCGATCATTCTTTTGTGATCTTCATCAGTGAACAGTTAAATATAAATCTCGAAATAAGGAGTCACATTACTGATCATATCACTGTTTGCCTCGTTATCATGTAAAGATCTGTGACAACAACATCTTCTTTTCACGGGACAGTGATGTGACTCTTATTTCGAAATTTATATTTGACTGTCCACTGATGAAGATCACAAAGAATGATCGAAACGTTTGTAATCATAATAATACATCAATAAAAACAATACACGGACATCCTATATAATACGTGTACTGCCATTATTCGCCTTACCAATTTTCGACGAGTTATATTAATATTACTGTTTTCTGTTGTGAATCAAAAAAAGCGAAAGAAAAAGAAATATGTGGCAATGCGTTAATTATATTTCGTGCGCATGTTCCTAAGTATATTTTGCACTAATTCATGACTAAATAAATCTTTGTTTTCTTCAAGAAACATTTCTGTTGTGTCTTTGTAAAGGATTGCAGTGAGAACTCACACAGTGCTCCATCCAATAATAAAATGCAGTCTTTATTTCACATGCTTCCGTTTCTTATTAAAAATAACTTGTATAACAATGGCCCGCTCGCTTGAATCGCGTAACCCCCGGGAACCGAAGTCCTCACACACCTCTCTGTATTCCGCACACCAAGATATATATCGTACCACGCCACGCGGCGCGACACGCAACTCGCGACCGGAAAACGACCCGGTCGCCCCCTGGCCGATGACCGTGCGCACAAACGATCGCGGCCCACGCGCCAATACAAAATACAACATGTATACAACATCTCTTCTCCCCGTAATTGAATACCTGATGTCTTATACTATTAAATATAATCCTTTACAAAATCAAAAAGATAAATATTCACCAAAACGCTCTGGTGGCTTACGTAATCTTGTCGATCGTTCTCGGCTCAAAACCGGAATCGGTGCTTCAGGGAAAATCGCTCGATCTGGCGCCCCCTCTTGCTCTTCCTCTAACAATGTGTTCCGAGCCCCCGCATTCTCGGCAAGCTGACGGGAAACATCTGACAGTCTCTCTCTCTCCGGATCCGTGGACGTCTGCGCATGTACGTCCCCGCAAATATTTGGTTCAACATTAACATCCATATTCGGATCGCCATAATCTAACATTTGAGTTAACGTTTTCTCGGTCAATACCGATCCTACCGCTCGCATTTGGTTAACGTGCCTTTTCCAAACTTTTCCATCATTCAACTTAATTCTATAGTGTAATTTTCCCAACTTCTCAATAATTTTACCAAAACGCCATTTAATATTCTTATCTAAATACTCGCGCACCGCCACACTCTCTCCGACCTCAAATTGTGTGATTTTCATATTCTTTATTTCATCATTTTCTATATTTTCTTTGATTCTTGGGAAAAGCAAGTTCAGTCTACTGTTGAGTTTTCTTCCAAACATTAACTCTGCTGGTGATTTACCAGTTTCCNGATGTGGTGATAAACGATAATTGAACAATATTTTCTGCACGTTTAACTTAACATTTTGTCCGATAGTATTCAATTTTCGTAATCCCTGCTTTAATGTCTGCACAAAACGTTCCGCTAGTCCATTTGTCGCCGGATTATACGGGGCTGTATTTTTATGGAAAATACCGTTTTCCCTCAAAAATGTTTGAAATTCCTTTGAAATGAATGTACGACCATTGTCTGTTACTAAAGTTTNCGGTAATCCAAACGTAGTAAAAATTTCGCGACATTTCTCTACCGTTGATTTTGTACTAATATTCCTCATTAAATGTACCTCCGGCCATTTGGTATGTGCATCCACCAAAACTAAGAAATTACACCCCATAAAGGGTCCTGCAAAATCGATGTGTACTCGCTGGAACGGTTCCGTAGCCGGTTCCCAACGATGTTTAATTACAATCTTAGGATTATTGCTAAAGGTATTGCACGCTTTACAGTTTTTTACTAATATTTCAATGTCTCTATCTATGCCTAACCACCAACAATAGCTTCGACTTAAATTTTTCATTTTAACTATTCCAAAGTGACCTTCATGTAATTCCTTAAGAACTCTTTCTTTTAAGGTCTTCGGAATCACCACTCGATCTTTCCTAAAAAGTATTTCATTTTGTATAGTAAACTCATTATCCTGAAAACCTAAGGGCACCAGACTTTTGCCCTGTTTCAAGGCTTTAATTATTTTACTTAATTCTTTATCCTTTCGCATTTCTACAATTATTTCCTTAGCTGTTACTGGTAGTGTTTCCAAATTATCTATTTGATACACATCTATCGGATCATACTCTCCTGTACGCGTTTCGTTTATAGGTAACCTAGAAAAACCGTCCGCATTACCGTGGTCTTCTGATTTCCGATATTTAATATTAAAGTTGAAAGCTTGTAAGAAAACAGCGTAATGCTGCATTCGCATGGCGCTATACGCTGGCAAGCCTTTCTGTGGTTTGAAAATTTGTGCTAACGGTTTGTGGTCCGTTATTAACGTAAAATGATTTCCAAAAAGAAANTGATGAAATTTTTTAATTCCAAATACTATAGCATAAGCCTCTTTATCAATTTGCGCGTATTTCTTTTGCGTTTCTGTCAATGAATTTGAAGCACACTGTATAATACGTTCGCTTCCGTCCGGATATGTGTGTGATAGTACAGCTCCCACACCATACGGACTGGCATCGGTGGCCAGGACAAGTGGCAACTTTGGATCGAAGGGCACTAAAATTTTATTACTTTCAAATTCTATTTTT